GATTTTTAAAGAAATTGAGTTCCATTAATGGTCACTTGAATACAAGAGACATGGATTTATTTTAGACCCTGTTACATAATCTTACGTAATTTAATTGAATAAAACTTACCTAATGACGCAGGAACAAATATTAACAAATAATTTGAACATTAACAATAAAATATTGATAAAAAAAAGTCCTTAACAATTATGATAACAACACGGCATAAATACGATAATATAAAATTGGTAAATATTTTTACAGTGTTAACAACATAATATATTATAATCCGTGTTATCAAATGAACTTGTTCAAGTTACTGAATAATGGCATATATATCTGGACGATTTAATGAATAGATTATACTATTTACAAGGTAAACAAAAACGACCTGGCCATAGATGGGGTATTGGCCATAGGTGGCGACTCCACCCTAGTTTGTATATTTCAAATATTGTTATTGATAAATAATTATATTATGAATAATTTAATTACCATGATTGGTAGGTGGAATATTATAGCCATTAGTATCGACAGTTTTTTGAGGAGTATCATATGTAAGGAGGTCACCCAGTTTCTGTTGTGACGTCACCTGTTTAGAATTACAAAAAATGAAATGAAGCAAAATAATAACAAGTATTTAAAAAAAATATATCAAATCTCTTATTTACTGTATTTAGGTTTGCATGCCAGCTTTGATGCTTGCTTTCGTGATTGAAATTACTTTGATCTTGGATACAAGTTGATGATTTAATTTGGGGTTCAGTCACTTCATATACACCTGGTATTAGTCTTAAGCGATTACCAGGACATATCCCCTAGGGGAAAAAATGGAATATAAAACAAATTAAGATGGTAAATTGTATAGAAAACATACTTGACGGCCTCTTAATGAGCATAACCACCATCCTTCAAGACCAGCTGTATTTTGTTCTAATACAGTTAATATGTCATCTTTTCTAAATGCTAATTCATCAGGTGCTTCAGCAATGTTATCATACATGGCTCTAGCAATACAGTTCTATAAATAAAAATAAAACCATTTTGCAAGTTTGTAAAATACATCATTAGCATCAATATAGGTATGTATACACTAATTTTGATTGCAAAAATGTATCATTTTGTTTTGTTTAAAATTCATAAAAACAGAAAAAAACTATTTTACAGTTATAGGACATTTCATCAGGTCATGGTACCGTGGTCCAGGTATAATTATTTTTTTTTTTTGAGAAGATTACATTGAAAAAAATGTTCTATTAAACTACATGTGGTCGGGGAGAAAATATCCAATTAAAAATGTATGTCTCGTCGTGAGACTAAGGATTAAGAACACGATTCATACCAGAAAACTGAACTCAGTTATTAGGTTGTCTCGGGGACAAACAAACGCCCACGATCAAAAAATAAATAACTAATACGTATTTTTATGTTATGTTTTGGAATACTAGAATGTATGTAGGTACTCACAGTGTAACCATTATTTACCGAACCGTTTTGATGTAGCTGTAGCATTTTGAGAGTTTAAAGGTAATCAGGTAACAATATTGTTCATAGAAGATGTGTCGTTTCGATCGCACTATTCGTATCCGGCGCAACGTACAGACTCAACAGAAAACGACGTGCAACCGTAATATTATGCTGTTCGTTGTCCATATTAGTACGATTGTTTATAGTTTTTGGCGACAAATTATCTAGGTCTCCGTCGGAGTTGCGAAAATCCGTGCGAATCGACATTTTTTTCGCCGTCTGTCCGTGACTCATACCGCGGCGACGACGCATGAGTCACGCGCCGAGAAGTCGACGTGCCGGCCGACGTAGTACCAGGTTCATGATGTCCCGCGGTCTGGTCCGGGAACCGGGACTCTGGAGGTTGGGCGACGGGCGACGGCGGTCGTCGTAACTTGTTGTTATCTATGGTCGTGTGCGGCGGGGACCACCGACATGATGATAACGACAAGATCCCTTATCGGTCCCCGTTTCGATGACTTTTGATTTTTGACGACGGCGCGGCGCCGCGGCCGTCAGGTGGCACCACTGATCCGTAATTCCGTGAGGACGGACGGCTACGCTGCTACAACCGCGGCGCTCAACGGGGCTACCTACGCCACTCGAGGAGGACGGTAACCGGTTACATGTATGTGTTCCTCCGAGGTATAATATTATAATAGTAACCTATCCGTTGAAAAGGAAATTTTCGCTTCTTCCGAGTTCCATAAGTTCGAATTCTGACTTCCGGTCGTGTAAACGCATTCGGGCATCATTCCTGTACGGTCAATATTATTATAGCCAATAAATTGTATGCGATTAGTGCCATAGCCGTAACAAGCTCATTTGACTAATTTAGTGCAGTTGTAGCACAGGTACCTAATATAACAATTTAATAAATAATCATATTATTGTCGGTCGAAATGGAATCGAACAAACTGCATAATAATATGATTCCGTAATCCGTATTTCCGTGAACGTGACCATACATACTATTTATAATAATATCTTAATTCAACAGCAGCTAGGCCCGTCTCGTTGAAAACCTATCGGCTATCGTAGTACCTATCGTCATTTGTCAGTCGTCACTGACTCATTGTTCGACAGTCGACGGTAAGTCGTTCGTTGATTTATGAAATAATAATAACGTCATGTCCCGCAGTGTCCACAGAGCGTTTTCCGGTGTTTTCCGCACACGTTTCTAGACTACAGGTCAGGCTAAAATGGTCGATGTAAATTTTATATTACGTACTTACTTACCCACCCACATACTATTATTGTGTTAGGCGATCGGTACTTTTATTGTATAGCACATAATATTATATAAGTAGTCGCGAAAAAAAATACAATAAGACCCATTCGTTTGGTACCTTTAAATCTGTCAAACTTTCGGTCGTACTTACCCGAATTTCCGCCTTCTTTGTAATGATTTGTTTTCTCGAATATAGGTTGTGTTCAGCTGGTGATATTTGTGACATTTGTGTACGGAACATAAAACTGCCTGTTGCTCATGACAGAAGCTCAAACGGTTTTCACACTAAGAGCAACGCGAAATGTAAGTGATAACTTTTAATACTATTGTAATTACATTGTAATCGTCTGTTTTAAAATCGACATAAGATTAGTGTCATACGTTTTACACGATATTGTGGTCCATAGCTTTTACTTGTTGTTTATAATATTATTATAATTACTATAAGTTGTAATAATATATCATATAGGTATTTACGAACCATATATAGATTTACCTATTATAAGTGGTGCCGGCATTATTTGAATAAGTAGGTAACTAACAATTATTGTTAGGCATGTTGCGTATCATTTATAGATATTATTACTATTATCATATATTATAAATATAATTACTAATAATTAATATTAATTAGGTATTTAGTTATATTCAATGTAGCACTTTATGATAAGTGTTCGTTTCGTGTGTTTAATCTTGCTCGCCTACCTATATTATAATTTATAGTTATTGTCCACATAATATGAGTGTAATATACTAATATATGACATTATGACGTATTGAATTATGTACATACACCTACTGATTATTAATTATTATCACCGAGATAACAATATTGTATATTTGTATACTATGGTTATTTATCTGAGTGATTATTATACAATTAGATGTAATAAAACCACGACAGACGTCTTCTATATTATAATAGTCTGTCTGTGGATTCAATATTGATTACGTAAATAGATTACCTGCCTATCGAAGTTTCTCGCATTATATAAACTCACTAAAAGTTATACGACAAAAAGTCGAGCTACTTTATCTGCATAATCATTGATAATATGTATACTACTCGGAAACGTAAAAAACTCATTTATTTTAATTTTGAGTTTTATTCACCACAATTATTTAGATAAAAAATAAATTATTAAGATGTACACGCGCAATAAATTTAAAATTTGACAAGTATAGATAAAAATATATCATGTAATTTAGACATTCAATATATACKAATGATAATAATTTGCATTATAATAATATTCCTACCTCCTACGGGCTATACAATATTTTATATAGTATATTATTTTATTTATATAGGTATTATGGACAAAAAAGTATAGAACTGTTATATAAATAAGATATGATAGGTAATGGATAATTATTATAATTTACGATCTGCTTATCTGGTATTCCGTGAGCTTTCTGCGTTAGAAAACTACACTTATAAATTTATCATTCAAGTCCGTCATATTMGTTTACATAGCACATTTACTTTTCACAGGTCCAACACTGCTGCAATGGCTCATGAGTCAGTATTAGAATTAATTGATAATTATAATATAACTATTAAGTATAATATACAAATGTAATAAAGATGTAGCTTTGCGTTTTCTATTTATTATTTTTCTTACTATTGATTAGTTGTAAAGTATCTGTATACTAAATACTTATTGTATATTATATCATTATTATAGAATATTGATAATTCTATTTTAATATGAGATACTTTCATAAGCGCAATCAGAGGGGGCTTAGGGGCTTAGTCCGCTCTAGAATTGCTACAGCCCCCCTAATAAAAAAATCTTATGATTTTACAACATAATACATTGGAACTTGCCCATATGCAGTTTTTGCTAACCTAAGTTACAGCCCCCCCAAATTTCAAACACTGTTTGCGCCTATGGACACCTTTTATCTTTATCCAGTGTTGAATTGCTAAAAATATACATATTTTTCACGCATATAGGTAAAAATGGTAAAAATCTTATAATTATGTAGAAAAAGAAATGTTCCCGTTTCGCTCAATATAATTATTTTCATACAATCCTTTTGTGAATTGTGATCATTATTATGAACAAAAAAAATCATAAAATCGTTAAAGTAAAAGAGCTACCCTAATAACATTTATTTTTGGAAATTTAAATTCAGGAAAATGATACAATTTTATAAACCTTTGAAGTAATATTCTCATAAACGATAAACCTATGGACTATTATGGTAGTCAGTAGATAAAAGGTCATTGATTCTCAAAATATTTGTTGGTAATTACCTAATAGAAGATATCAGCTGGTGACTATCAAAATGATAAAAATATTATCTGAGAATTAAAAATTACAAGTAATTATAGAATATTTTATTTTCATCACTGAAAATTGTAATGGAAAGGTTCTATTTGCTCGTATCATCATTCATTTGGTTGTATACTTTAAAAAAACTAGAGAAATTAATATATTATCCAATATATAACCTTACCTATATCATATATATATATATCAATATTCAAATATCATAATATATGTAATATATATCATGTACTGTGTGTTTAACTATGCTTATCCTCATTTTTAAATTAAATATATTTATTAATTCATTAATTAATATTCATAGATTCGAAACTTTTTATAAGTATACTTAAATATTATATTTTCTCAGTTATTTTTATATATTAAGAAGAGTCCTAACCCCTAGGTGATAAAATCTTCTTTTTTAAATTTTGATACATCCAACACAAAATTTGAACATGTAATTTCTAAGTTCCATATTATAAAATGTATATATATATAAGTACTAACGATAAAAGTATGTACTTATATAAAAAAAAATTGTTTTACAAAAATATAAGATCAATAATTCCCTTTTGAATGATGTAGTAATATTAGGATACTCCTTAAATTATGTAAAAATTTAAATAACTGAAAACATGACCATTAATCTTGTTACAGTATCAAAAAAAAAAAATTTTAATTTAACAGTATTTTTTAAATTTTGTTTTATAAAGTGTTAGTGACATACAGGGTCATCAAACTTATTGATAATATAATAAAAAATATAACATATATATAATTGGTAAGCGTGAATTAATTAAAATATTTACAACAAATTACAGTAATTTACATCGATAAGATGGTATTATATTTTTGATATAGTTTAAAAATAATTCTAATATCGACCCAGATGCCAAAGCTTGCGTTAAATCAACGAAATGTAAATTTGTAATGTTAAAGTTGTGCGCTGCGCTTAATAATGAATGGAGAAGAAAAAGTTGATCATCGATATGATTATGTAGAATTTTGTTGGCCAATGGTAATACATAATATTTAGGTAAATTTAGTAGGACATATAAACATCTAGGTTATTGTATATAGTATTATAGTACGTATACTTTATTCGTAGCATTCTAGCATCCATGTCAGAGCATATTTTAACGTAAGTATAAAGTACGTGGCACTAGTGCACTCAGTGAAAAATAAGCGTTAAGACTAAAAGGTTGATTTCACCTATACCTACCGATATTCCTCATATATAAAATTTTACGTTGTAACTTGTAGCTACCCAGTAAACATTACTTAAAATATATATGCCCTGATCCATGTATAAGGGTGTTTACTGAGTGTATTGGCATGGCACCGTAGTAAGAATAAAACTGAAAAAATAAAATTCAAGTATAAGTAGAACCTATTACCATTGTCTTATACATAATTATATTACAAAATAGGAATATTGAAATTATGGTGTAATCACAATTATATAGATGAGATTACATGACTATCAATACCGTGATAGGCACTTGGTTTTCAAAAGTTCAGTGGGTACGCAGGAAAATAAAAGCTAAATATTTTATGCAGTTATTACTGTAGGAAAATATAGATTTTAATAGGTCCTTGAGTAGTCGAGGTTATCCACATAATTATCACCTAATGCTTATGATCGATGCAGGCGTAACACGGAGGCGATAAGAAAACAGAAA